AAAAATGTGGTATATAAACACACATGGAAAAATACTATGAACTTTTTGCCTTTTGTGGCTACAAAGTTGAAACTTGAGAAGATAACGCTAAAGTGATGTAAGTCAGAAGAGAAAACAAATTGTATAGTTTTATGTATATGTAGAGCATAGAGGAACAAAGCCTCTAACAAAATAAGTCAATGACAGACCTTTGGCATCATGGTGAAAAACTGAGGCAACCAGATGGGAAAGGCAGAAGGGTGAGAGTAGGGACAATGGAAAGGGACCATTGGACCACGCGGAGAACTATTGGGGATTTGGTATTGGGCATGATATGGAAACATATTTGTAGAGATCTCAACAATTAGGATGGATACCAACTTTATCCAATAAACATAACTGGAAAGATAAATAAAATTTTTAAAAATTGTAAGTAAGTAAATACAGTCTATATTCTCTGAGATTTTGAGGCTTTTTTTCCAAACGTGTAAGTCTTTCTCAACATTTGATTAATATCTACATCCTCTCCAGGTATAAATCTATTTGCTATTGTTAGAGATTGAAAGATCAGAACTTTATAGAAGAATATTAGTACATATATTTTTCAAAGCTGTAATATAAAGCCTATAAAAATTCAGTTTGTTGAGCAATATTACAAATAATATATGATACAGTATTAAATTATTTTTGAGTCAGTATAAACACATTAAGAAGTAGCATTAACATTTTAATAGTGTATGTACACTAATTTGTTAAATCAAAGTTTTATCACCATTTTCTAATCAAGCAACATGCATCTGAAGAACAAATTGCAAATATGATTCTATAAAACAGCTTATAGTTTTAATAGAGGGTATTCTGGGTTTGATGTCCTATAAAATGAGATTTTTTAATAGATTAAATACCTTTTTTGCATGTCTATATTTATGTTTTACATGTGAACCTGAAAAGCAGAGTAATCTGTGCTATGTATGCTCTCATTTTTTAAAAGACTACTTTTTCCTGCACTTATTGGTAGGAATTTACTATTTTATAAGATGTTCATCTCTGAGTGGTCAAAGAATAGCCCAAATAAGATATTTTGAGAAGGCAAATAGAAGTAATGAATACATGCAAAACTTGATTAGTTGCCTCTAGTACTCACAGTGAATGATTTTCTTTGATATTATTGCTTCAGGATTTCTGTCATTTTACAGACACTTGAGGGTGCCCCACAGACACTTGAGGGTGATTTGACATATATAAATATGTCAAAAGAGTGCTCTCTATCCAAATAGCTTTTCACATAAGACTGATGTATTCCAAGACCAAATAAATTAGAGCTGGATGAAACAAAACACTTATTGTATTTTTTCATTGGTTTTACTCTTATGCACTGATTGTTAAACATAATTCTCTAATTTTTCTTCCTGTGGAGCTGACACAGATTCAGTGACAATTGTCCATATGAATTTTATTTAATTGACCATGATACAGGTTTCCTAAACTTCTAACATGTTCCTGTTTCTTTTTGCATCACCATACCCAACAGATGTTCCTCAACCAGCCACAGCCACCAAAATGTAGATTTAGAGAACACCTACAATGGAGCTCTTGGGTTGGTTGCTAAAATTCAAATTTCTGAGCCTACCTAAACTGATTTATTTATAATATTCTTGACTGGTACTTCACATCTTCACATTTACAAATACCTAAGAAAATACGACAGTAAAATTGATGACCATTCTGCCTAATTTCTTGCCCTGTTTTTCCTGAGATTAAGCGCCTCTAAGTTACCTGCACTTTATGCATATGAACACACAGATGCATGCAGGAACTGACATGTATAAACACATAGTCTCTATATTCTATATGATCTCACTAATGTATGAAATTTCATTACATAAATGTTGCTTTTATAAGATTTTCTTAAAGAGTCAGAAAGTTAGAGCTACATTTTATAGGGAAAGAAAATTAAATGGCATTGACTGGTAAAGGATTAATATAAAAACTGAAAAAAAATACAGCCAACAGTACTCCTTAAGTATTGCTTAGATCACATTTTATACTGGGTATTAACTGATTTTATTCTAATAAGGAAAATTGAGACATTATTTATAATTCCAATTCACTTTTAGCAGTCCAATTATTAGGATCAATCTCTTAATAAAAAAATGAAGATTATTGAACAGTGAAATATGTTGCCATTTGCACATGGGGTCAGTTATGTTATTAGAAAAAAGAAAACTCACCACTTCTTCATGTCTGCATTTTCTCACATTAATTCCATTTATCTGCAATGAAAATAAAATCACAGTCTCACTTGGTAAATATTACAAATTTGTATTTTATTTGCACATAAGACACAAAGGTTAAAATGTTTACCTGTAGAATTGCATCCCCAATAAAAAGTAGTCCTGAAAGTTCCGCTTTGAAAAGAAAGGGATAATTGATTATATATTTGCTACTTTTTTTCTACAGGTGAAATTAATTTTATCAGTTATAAAGGTAAAAGTGATGAATGGAAAAAAGTAAATGTTTTATAGGAAAATATTTTAAAAGATACACAAATAATAACATGCATATATTTTGCATATACATGTAAAATAATATGATTTAGTCCTATTTATTTGAGAATATATCAAAATATGTCTATTTAATTCTACCATCTCAGATCCTACAATTGCCAAAAGGTAGTCACCTTTCAGAATGAGTGACTATACTGTAAAGGTATACATGTAAAATTTTAGATACTGAGTTTCATTCACTTCATCAGCTGTGTACTCAGTTCTCAGTTTCTTGTTAGACATTACATTGTCTTACTGATTTCAGTTATTCAAACATCTTAGTGTTTTGCCTATTATTTTAAACCAGTTGTTATCATTAAAAATTCTTGTATGTTTAGTGAAATGATTCAAAATCTTAGCTGTCCCTAATTCATACCCAGAGACAGGCTAATTATCTCTCATTGAGGGAAATCCTATGTAGAATAATAAAGGGAATTTGACAAATGGGGAATCCAGAGCCAGTAAATTGCAACCTAATTTGTGATTTTAAAATCATCTTATTCTTCAAAAACAATGATTTAAAAGGGTAACTACAACAACATTCCTTAACACTTTACCTCTTTGTTCCTTGGAGATTTTTGAAATGACAACTGGGATATTATGTTCTGCTCCCCCCTGAAAAGAGAACATTATTTTATTTATTTTAGTCTCCAAGAAAAAAAAATGCAGACTATGAATAGTACATTGACACCACATAAAATCAGAACAATTTGTGGACTTTCTTTATAAAATAGATGGTATTCCCAGGAAACTTACCTACCTATTTAGAATTTCTCTGTGAGATCAAACCATAATAACTGTTAATTTTGATAGTTTTTATTTTCATTTTTCAAATGATGTCTTAAACATTTTTTTTCAATGTGCAGCAGTGCTATCAATATTAGTGTTTTTTGTTGTTGTTTTTTTTAAGACTGAATGCCAGAAAATAATATATTTCCATAACTGGCTAAGTTGTTCTATATTGGTCACCAAGCATGAACTCTTTTGGATAACAAATGACTACAGAGACCTTATCCTGAACTAATGAGCATGCAAAATCAGAATGCACATAGGTGTGATGGAAAATAAAATAGAATAAGATGCCTTTCCTAATCAATCTTGGACCCCTTTTTGTATGAACAAATATATACTTCATTTATGACAGAATAAAACAAACTGACAAGAATATTGTGGCATTGCTTTGTCTAATTAATCAAATTAGATATGAGAAAAATAAACCAAACTTAAGTGGAAGAAAATAAACTAAACCTGATAAATTCCTACATGAACGTAGTTTCAACATTACAAAGAAAGTTGAAAGGAGCAGCTGAAAAGATGAATAAGTACATTAAAGACTAATGTGTAATGTTAAAAGAAAATAGCATACTTTTAACACAAGGTAGTAGAAAACACTCAAAATCCCATTAAATTTTCTCTTTAGAATAACATTCCTAAACCATTTTTTAAAGTAAAAGATTATTTTAGTAAGGAGACATTTGTT